TGTGGACTTAAAGGCAAGTAGTAGGTGTTTAGGATTGCAGGGGAGACAGAGAGAGCTTGGTTTGGAGGTAGGAGAAAGCCTGGATATATGGGATCTCTTTCCATTTGCCCGTACGCTCACAGAAGTTGTATAAGTCACAGAGAATTTTAGGATATAAAGACCCATTTGGAGGCCATTTAGACTGATTGTCTAAGGGATATTGTGGCCAGATCTCATTATAGTAGCGAAAAGGTTTGAGGTCTGGAGTGTGGTGGAAGGGCTTTAGATTATTGAGTAAGCACCCTAGCAGTGAATCTGCCGGAATGGAAGGGCCAGATCCCATGGTGAGAACAAGACCATTCAGAAGTTGCTGAGGCATCCCTGAGCAATTGAGAAGGTCGTGGAGAAGACCAGGCACAGTTAGGGGGTCGTCACCACCTCTAACTGTGGGGTCGAGGCGAAAACGCCGGGGTGGCTCGGTACCTGGTACCAGGAGTTTTCGAGTTGAGTAGATATGTAGATAAAGGGAGACCAGGCCTCAGTGGATGAGGATTCTCACCATGGGGAGGCAGAGAAGGGTTGACTATGGGGATCAACTGTGACTCTGAAAGTCGTGGTTGGGGGTGCTCCTGTCCCAGAGGAGCCCTTGAGGGTGCCGGACACTCAACGGTCACTTCCCAGGTTCCAAAGGGACATTTAAGGCAACCATGAAGGGGAGACTCACCAAATCGAAGGCCAGTGTTGGGCAAGAAGATGAGCGACTGGGGAAGTGGATAGGAGCCCGTGGAGGAGGATCGGGCAGTGAGGGTTCCCACAGCAGCTCAGGTTCCCAGAGGAAGAGCAAAGTCAATGGGAGAGCCTCATCTGAAGTCACGGCACCAATAAAAGGGTATCTCGCCGTGACCCTCCTTACCAAGAATGACTCAGGAGACACGGGCCCACGCAAGAGACTTTATCTGAAGGAGAGAGTGGCTGCCCCAGAGGGGGGTGGGGGGAGAGAGACGGGGGTGAGCAGCAGAGTGAGCAGTGGGACAGAGAGAGCAGAGAGAGATAGAGGGAGAGAGCAGGGAGAGCAGGGGGACAGAGAGACAGAGACAGAGAGAGAGGGCCGCAGAGAGACAGAGAGAGAGAGAGAGAGGACAGCAGCGTGGTGCCTTTTATTGTGGCAGATCCACTTGGCTTGTTGCTTTGGCTGAGTCATGCTTCCCAAACTCCTGTCATACAGTGTCCTTGTACCACCTGCACTATGTAGTGTTTTTCTTTAAATTAACTTAATTTGTATTTAAATAGAATCCCTTAAACAGAAAATTAGTGGATAAGAATTTTTTTTTAATGCAAATAGAAAATGTAGGAAGGACCATGACTCTAAAAAGGAAGAGCTATGCAGAGTGAGGGACAGAGACTAGGGAAGAAGGGGAGGAGGCTTGGGGCTAGGGCTAGCAAGCCCGAGGGGCCAAGGACAGGCAGGTGGGAAGATGGGGGGTATTGGCCAGGGCATTCCGGCTTGGAGTCTCTGTAGAGCCTTGGGATAGAGCTCTACGAGGCAGTGGGAATGCCACATTCAGATATGTGCTTAGAAAGCTCCTAGTGACTAACAGATTGGGTCAGGGGCACTGTAAGACGTAGGGAAATGCACAGAATGTGTTGCAACAATCCAGAAAGGAGATGCTGTGAGGCTCTCTGGGGGTGCCATTCCCAGCCTGCCCCTGCCCTACTGTCCTCTGAATCTCTGTGCACCAGACTCTGTTCATGGTCTGCTTTTTCTCTGTGGGTAACTCAATCTGGGATTCTTTGTGTCTGTTACTGAGTTTCTGTTTCAGGATGGTGCTGTTCTGCATCTCTGTCCAATTCTAGCTACACATGTGCCTTTAGCTCAGTTTTCCTACCTCGTCTCAGGAGCTGGGCCTGAGGGCTGCAAGTCTTTTCCTGGGAAAGGAGTGGCAGTAGGATCTGGGCAGAGATTCCTGGTGGTCAGTTAAGTGGATACTAACCTATTCCTGCCACAAGACCTTCGGGGTCATCTTGGGACCTTCGGATGAGGTCCCTCAGGCAGCAGTCTCTCCTATTGTGAACCAAGCCCAGAGTCTGAAATCAGCACCAGAAAGGCCTGCCCATAGAGGTCCTTTTATTTCCTTCAGTATGTACTGGGAACTTTCAGTGTGCCAGGCTTGGGCTAAATGCAGTAGACCTAGGGCCCTCAAGGGGCTCAGCCTAATGGAGATGGCAGAGGAATAATAAGAGGCTGGCACAGGGAAATGATTTATTCTGGCAGTCCAGGGAATCCCCAAAGAGTAGATGACGCTAACAAAGTCAACTTCAGATTTCCCACATGAGGACTTTCCATCCAGTGTTCACAGAGAAGGCTGCATCTGAGAAGCAGTGGGACATAACAATAGAAGAGATTGGGGTCTTGAGGGCTATGCTGAGTGTGGTCTTTAGCCTGGAGACATTGATAACTTTCTGAGCAAGGAACAGGCAACATTTAAGAAACAAGTTCAGATCTGTAGGTTGAAGCGAACAACAAACCGCTTAAGCAATAGTGGGGACAATCCTGGCTCATGGGACAAACTATGGTCACATGCCTGGGCTGAAGTGGCCTAAGGGCAGGAGCCCTGAGGTCCAAGTTGTCCTCCCCATGACCTGGAAATCAAGTTGCTAGGGGAGCAGAGGGCTTCCCAGTGCCTCAAGATGTGCTGTCTTATCTAACTCCACTCAGGTTGCCCCAGGACCTCATTCCTACTGGCTCCTAACAACTGACCATTTTCCTCTCAACACCCACTCTCCAACAGATTCAGATCCCTCCCTTACAAGACCCCCTCCCTCCCTCACACATGGATTCCTTCAACCAAATGCCTATGTCCACTGACACCAGGGACTTCCTAGCCACCTTTTCCCTCTGCCCTCAGCTCCAGGGGTGTTTTCTATCCGACCAAGCATGAGACCTGTGCAGAGTATCCTTCCCAGCTACAGATGCTTCACTCCCAAGAATAAGACCTCCTATTAGGCCAGTGGTCCAGCAGATGTAGCGTACTCTCTAGTGACCCCCATATTGTGAGGTCCTCTTCATGTGCTACCTGAATATGGAAGGTGGCCTTTCTCCCTGCCAGCCCCCAGGAGTAGCCAGAGTAGGCTTGCCGTGTCCCCTACTTCACCCAGTTATGATTTGCACTCCTGTTCCACTTTCCCCGGGGTTTTAACAGAAAAGCCCTCAGGAATATGCGGACCTGTGAGCTTGTCTGGAGGGGTGGAGAACAGAGGAACTGGTGTGATGTGCACCACTTGGCAGCCAGTCTTGGAGGAGCAGAGGAAGTGACTGAGTGGATGCTGGCCACTGGTGATGGAGAAAAGGGCAGCCAGCCAGGGGGCCTGAGCACTGAGTAAAAAGGACAGCAGGTGTGAAGTTGGCAGGAAGTGTATGGGGAATTTAAGAGCAACACACATGCTGGTCTGAGACAGATCTAGGGACTTGGGGCTGAGAGGCCACATCTTCAGGGTATCCAGGAATTCAAGAACCCTTCCTAAAGGAGAACACCTCAGCCACTTACCCTCCTTTTACCTCCAAAGTCCCAGGCCTTCGCTGCCCAGAGAATTTCGGTAGAATAAGGAGACACAGCCCTGTGCTCAGATCCTCCTTGGGAGCCCTGGGTTAGGGGAGAACACGGCCTGCTATGAAACCCTGTCACAAAGGAGTAGCCGCTGGAGCAGAGTGGCAGGGCAGCTCTGTGTGCCCCAGCCCACTGGCAGGAGCAGCTTTGGCTCCAGAAGGGGCAGAGAGAGTCATAGAGTCCCAAGCTCATTTGGTGACTCTGGAGCCAATGAGTGTCTTGAGGTGGGACCCCACATTTGCAGCACCCACATGGACTGCATCTCCACCGCCTCCTGTGTGCTGGGAAGCCAGGTATCACTGGCCGCCTGTTGGAGGTTGCTCCTGCCTGGCTGCTGGCCTCTTGCCTCTCCCTGGCTCCCCAGGCCTGGGCCTGCAGAGGCTGTGTGGGAGGTGAGGGGACAGACAAGATGTGCTCACCACCTGTGGCATGAGATATTTCAAGCAGGTCACAGTCATATCCTGGCACACATGGGTATAAGCTCACGTACACAGGCTCATATACATGCCAGAACTCGGGGCACATGTGATGGGGTTCTCTGCCTAGGCTGGTTTCTCCTGCCTTGGCACCACTTGTTTCTCCCTTTCTCTTGCCCTCTGGCCCCCCAACGTCCCAGCCCTGCTGCACACTACCTTACCCCTTCAGTTCTCCTTGAATCCTGCCTCCCACCCTCCTTTATGGATGCTTCCTCACATACACAATCACAAGTGAGAGCCAGGGAATGTCTGCTGGCAATTTCTATTTTTCACACACACTTCCCCCACACCTGGGAGGAGAGAGGGCTGAGCTATCTTCTTTGAAACTAGGGGTGGGGAGAATACAGTGAGGAAAAAAAATGATCTCAACAAGTCTGCATACCCCTGATCCCACTCTCCCTCCCTCCCCGTCCCCTGGTTCCCCCAGCACACACAGGTGTGCAGGCCACCCTTTGTTGCATGCATAGTTAAAGCTGACTCTCAGGTGGGGCTGTCAGCCCCAGTGCTGGCATGGCCGTGGGCGGCACCGCCTGGCTTCACACCTGAGAGCTGGGCTGGCACTGGTGTGCAGGAGGTGCGTGGGGCCCTGGTCCGAGGAGGCCCCGTCTCCCCTGAGGGGGGCCCACAGACAAGCACTCTGCTCTTGGCCTTGCCTTTCCAGGCAGAAACATGCAGGGGATGGTCTGTCACCCAGATGAAGGTTCTGGAGTGAGAGTAAACCAGGAGGGGGTACCTGTTGTGGCCTGAGCTTGCGGATGGCACTGAGCAAGTAGAATTTCTGGATATTTTGGAACTATTAAAAAAATTACTTTTAAAATATTAAAAGCAAAACATTTTTGAGAAATGAAGATACTAGCCACATGGTTTTGGCCAGACCTAGAAAGTTCACAAAGCTCCCTAGCATTTACTGTCTCTCTGAGGTCTTGATGGCTCTTGGCAGGAGACATGAAGGAGGTGCGAGTCACTCATCTTGCTTGCTTGCTGTACACCCAGCTCTGCCTGGGGGCCACGTGTCCCCAAGGATGAGAAGCTCCCTTGGCTGCAAGGAATGGAGACTCTCCTGGGGAAGGTAAGCATGAGGGTTCCACAGCAAGGGTCTCTGCCCCATCTAAGGCCTTGAAGGAACCCAGCTCAGACCCTGGAGGAACCCACCACTTGGCAGGCCTCTGGAATGACCTGGGAAACTGGGTGTTTCAGGATGAGAGCCAGCTCCAGACCACTCTCCTCTTACTGCAGGGTAAGTTGTTTGTTGAGTCTGACCCAGCTACATCTTCCATCAGTGCTTCTCCCGGGGTTTAATCACATGCCCTCCTGCAAGCACCTCACTAATTTTTATAAGTCCTAGTTTAAATTCTGGGGAAAGAAAGAATCTGTTTGGCTCAGCTCATTACCATGGCTCAAGTTGCTATGGTTATTATAAAATATCACTCTAGAACTTACTTAAAAAACCAACAAAAATATTTACATGTATATAATCTGCAATTTGGGCAGGACTGGGTAGGGATAACTCATCTCTACATGGTATCGCCCACCTGGGCTGCTTGCAGGCTGGGGGCTACTAATCGAAGGCTCACCCACGTCACAACTGATGTCAGCTATATACCGAGACTGTGGGCTGTTGGCTGGAGAGCTTACAAAGCATTGTATTAACCACACCTTTAATTTGTGAGACTCTGAGGATTTGACATCTTGGGGCCTTGCTGACTCTGGAGGGACTGACCTCCCAAGACTAGCTCATTCCTACAAATATAAACAGCTGGCCAGGAGCATGCCTTTCTCATGCAAACCGAGCAGTTCAGAGCCCCCTCCATCCCTGTGCAGCCTACTCCTGTAGGAGTTCCTACATTCCAGGAGGCTATTCCCTTTCCCTAATCACCTCAGGGCCGGGTCCCAGACAACTAGGGCCAGTCCCTACATCCAGAGCCAGTGAAATTATTTAAAGTAGTCAATCAGAAATCTGCTTACCTCGCCTCGCCCATTCCTTTCTGGGGAAGCCACAATTAGTCCCTTGTCACAGTTTGCCTTTCTCCCTGGTCTGCCTTCTAAACAATCTGGTGCTTCTCCATCTGGCCTTGTGGCATGGTGTGCCCCCCTCCCTTGAAACTGCGAGAGTAACAAACCATATTTCTATGGCAGTCATCTCCTGATCTGGGCCTCGTTGTACCTGAGAATCACAAAACCTGTGATTTGAACCATTGGTCTCTTCAGTGGCCTGGCTTCCTTGCATGGGGGTGGCTGTGTCCTCAGACAGCTTGAGGGGAGTATACTGCTCTTTACAACCTGTCTTGGCAATGCTCATTGTCCCCTCTGCTGTGTTCTCACCCAGGCCATCACAAGTCCCACCTAGTTTCAGGGGGAGGAAAAATAGATGCCACATCCTGATGGGGCCTGGCAAGGTGACAGAAGAGCATGCAAATGGGAATGGCATGGTGGCCAGTTTGGGAGGGGGCAACCTGCCAAATCACCCTCCCTGGCAGAGCGCTTCCTGCCAGACCACCTCCTGGTTGCTGGCCAGGCAGCAGTTAGGCTATGCGTGAGTCACGTGTCCAGTCCGTCCCAGGGTTGCCCTTAGACCTGAATAAGAGGGGCCCCCTGGCCTGGGCTTGGCACTTCAGAGTGCCCAGCTCTCCCCTTATCCATGGGAGGAGGATTTGTAGCATGGGACTCCCTGCAGTCAGTGTGTACTTGCCCTGTTTTAGAACATGTTTAGGGCACCCAGGACCCTAAGATTTCTCCCCAAGCAGCTCTGAACTCACTACTCAGCTCAGTGTGCATTCCTCACAGGATCTGTCTCAAGACAGCCGCCTCATTGCTAAGAAGCAGTCACAGGTGGCCGTTTGAGGGTCAGGACAGGAGGCTGTGGGGAGGGCAAGCACACACTGGGATGTGCATCCACATCTGGTCAGGGGGCCTCATGTGCCAGGGGGAGGAGGGAGGCAGGCTGTGACAGGAGCCCGGATTCAGTCATGCTCCAGTGCACAATGCAAGGAATCCGGTCACTTCAGATGTTACCTGGGCCTCCAGCCTCAGGTTTCTGTCCAGCTGCATGGTTTGGATTGGATGGCATGAAGAAAAACCTGACTCCTGCAGAATCTGGGCCTCCATTTGTCCTCTTGCCTCACAGAGGTCAGAGGTGGGCCTGCTCTCATCCACCTGACAGTGGAGGGGAGGCAGTGTGGAAAACAGGCCACCCTCCAGCCCTGCTGCTGGGGGCAGAGCCTAAGCATCTGGAATGTGGTGCATGATCACAGGACTTTGTCTTCCCCAGTTCTCACAGCCTGTGAGGCAGGAATTAGTAATGATGTTGACAGATGACACAGGATCAGAAAGGTTTAGAGGTGAGCTCAGCCACCCACCTTGAGTACAATATGGAGATGCCAGCAGATGCCCTTCTCTGGGGCTCCTTTCAGTCAGGAAGCAGCTGCTTGAGACTATAGGCCGTGTCACTGGTTGGGAGAGTTTCCGGACCTTGACTCTGAGTCCTGCCACTGTTACACGCTGTGCCTAAAGTAGGATGGCTCAGAAGATGATGATTACACACAATTTATTTGAAGAAGAGAAGGCACTGACAGAAATCTAGGAAAGTGTTCTGGGGTTTACATCCTAATTAACAAAACCTCCTCAGTCTGAGTGGAGACATGCTTATTGGCAATAAGTAGCACATGATCAGGTTGAAATGGGCACTTGCTCTGTTTTCTGGATAATGAAGCTTGAGATTCAGAATCTACTAAGTTGGTGCTCACTAGGCCTCTGTGTCCTCATGAAGCTAAACTCACAACTCCAGACTGCATATCTGTTGGACTGTCCCAAGGGAGATATGAGGGGATGGAGAGAAATGTCAAGAGAGTGAGACATAGCCCCAAAGATATGTCATATTTATCATGCCCTCTCCTTTGCATACGCTGTTCACTCTGCCAAGAATGTTGTTCCCTGCTCTTCACCTTGCATAACCTTCCCCACCTGCCAAGACCCAGACGGTCAGGGAGCCTCCTCCTTTGAGTTGAGGACTCCTGGACTGTGCTCCCTTGGCCTTTGGGCTGATTAATCAGGAAAGAGCAGCTGCCTGAATGTCACTTGGATGAGTGTGCAAACTGATTTAATATGTCATGGCTCTGGCAGATTGGGCTGTGCTCTCAAGATGAGAGCACCCCAGGTGCATGGGGCCCCTGAGGGGGACCATACTGCTTTCCTGGTCTGCTTTCTACCCCACAAAGCTCCATATGCCAGGAAAAACATTTCCCTTTCCAATATTGAAACACATTTTTCTCCCTTCATTACTGCATTCAACTTGAACGTTTCCTTTCCCCCTTTGTTTATACAGAAATATTTTCTTCAATAGTGGGGCTCTGAAAGATTATTAAATACCCCTCAAGTGATGTGTGTGGCTGAGACCAGAAACCAGGAAGCAAGATTGCTTGCACCTCTCCAAAGGCAGGTCACATAATGCAGCGCTTCCGCGACAGAGGGTCAGACCACAGCTGCGTTTTTCATCTGTGAGGACTGTGGCCGTGCTCAGGTTTAAACTGCTTTACTGCTGAATTGATTATTTATTTGAACAGTGTCTCTGCACCTTCCTTGTTGGTAAGCTGGTTTAAGAGTTCCAGGTGCGACAAAGTACTCATTAGTGCTGGTGTGGTTGTTACCGGCAAGACCTCACAAAACATCAGCTTGAGAAAATAGCTCAAGCCAGATACTGCAGGCTGGCACCCGGGGTGAGCGCTGGCTCACAGGCCCATGCTGGCCACAGACCTGGCTCTCTGTTGTTCTTATGTTGTTCTCTGCTTCTGCTTGTACAGTGTGGCTTGCACAATGGATTTAAAAAACAATCATAGATTTCAGAAACATTGCAGGGATAAAGAATGCCCATGCCCTTCCATAAAATTCCCTAAATGTCCACTTTTTATCTCCCTATATTATTATCATTGGAACCAGTTGAGAATTGCAGACTCACTCCTAAATGCTTCAGTGAAGACTTCCTACCAAACAAGAATCCTCTCATGCATAACCACATACGACAATCAGATCAGGAAGTTCACACTGATACGGTATTATCTGATCTATGGACCTTAGTCACATTTCACCAGCTGACCCATTTTGCCCTTTTGCCTTTATTTTTTCTGGTCCAGGATCCAGTCTAGGATCATGATGTCATGCCACTTTTGTTTCCCTTAGTCTGCGTCAGTTCCTTGATCTTTCATTGTCTTTTGCGATCTTGCCAGTTTTGAAGAGTGTAGGGCAGTTATTTTGTAGAATGCCCCTCAACAGAGGTTGGTCCGTCGTATCCTCATGATTAGATCCACGCATGCCTTCTTGGCAGAAATGCTCCAGAAGTGCTGTTGTACCCTTACCAGTGCATCATGCAAAGAGGCATGCATGTTGCTTTGTGATATGATTGGTCACATTAACTTTGCTCCCTTGGTTAAGATAGTATCTCTAAGGTTTGTCCACTGTCAGTTTTTTCCCTTTGTATTTTCCCCTAGTTAAAAAGCATTTTGTAGGGCAGCACTTTCAGGCAGTGTAAATAGCCTTATTCTCATCAAACGTTTATCCTCTAGTTTTAGCATGTGTTGATGGTACTTGCCTGAATTGGTTACTGCTGTCCAATTTTCTCGGTTGGGTTGGTGGGAGCCTGCTCAAGTTCGTTTCTGTGTGTGTCTGGCATCTCCCCAGTATTTTTTTAGTTCTTCCTTGCTTCATGGCACCACAAGATGTTCCAGGCTCACTTTACCCTTTCACTGGACTCATCCCAGAGTCAGTCATTTGTCTAAGGAGCCTTGATTCTTTTTAGTGGAGAATCATATTTACACACCAAGATCTGGGTGCTAGAAGTGCTCACTGCTATGGGGTGATTCTGAGTTTCCTCAGTCGACACAGTTGTATAAATTTATCCATCCATCTGTCCACATCCATATCCATTTCTCTCTATGATTTCTGTCTATATTAATCAATCTCATCTCTTTAGAGTCATCTATCTATATTGAATCTATCAGTGCCAGGAGTTCATAGAGATACATCCAATGCCTATCTAACACCCCACAATTTATTATAGCCTCCCTCTTCCCATATTTGTAACTCCTTTCTCTGAAGTCAGAAATTTGACTCCCGTTATCCATAATATATGTGTATACTCAGAAAGTACCTTCAGAATTGCTAGCCCATTCCACTGCAAAAAGCCAACCCATTCAGTGGGGTTCAATATTTGTTTACAGGTCTCCTTGTCTTTTTAAAAATTAAAGTATAGTTGATACACAATCTTGTCTTGATTTCAAGTATATAACAGTGATTTGACAGCTACCCATATTATTAAATCGTCACCCACACTAGTGCAGTTACTATCTGTCAACATACAAAGATGTTACAGAAGCATTGGTTATATTCTCCATGCTGTGCTCCTATCTCCATGCAGGTCTCCTTATTTTTTGTCAAAATACTCTATTCAAATGTTACTTGGGTTAGTTCCTCCACCCCCAAGATAGGGTCATTTTTTCTGTCTGTGTTCTATTCTACATTGTTTCCCTCCATTCTTGAATTTTTTTAGGCAAATGAAACATAAATATGGTCCCCAAAGTCAGAGTTATGCAGAAGGGTATATATACCCAGAGAAGTGTCACTGCCCCACCCTTTGCATCTCACCCGTAACCCTGCATCCTCTCTATCCACCTTCTACCCTAGCACTGACTTTAGCAAGCACTCTCCTTAGTTTTTGGTTTATCCTTTCTGTGTGCTGTTTTCTTGTTCTGTACAAATAGCAGACACATGTGCATATTACTATTTCTCATTTCCTCCATAAAAGGTATCAAACACTAGGTACTCATTTTTATTTCTTTTTCACTTAGTAATATAGCCGGAAAATCCCTCCATTTCAGTTCAGAGAGATTTTCCTCATTTTTTTTTTTTTGACATTGCATAGGAGTATCTTAAGGTAAACACGTTTAGTTTTGTTAGGAGTTGCTAGTCTCCTCCCAGAAAGGTTTTATCAATTTGTATTTCCACCAGAATGTATGGGAGGGCTTCTCCGCACAGCCACCACAATAGAATGTGTTATCATATTTAAAATTTGTGCCAATCTGCTAGGAGAGAAATGACATCTCAGTATAATTTAAATGTACATTTCTCTTATGTGAATTGAACATATTTTCATATGTCTGTGGCCCATTTTAATATGTATATATATACATATGTATATAATCAGTGAATTGTCTATTCATGTCTTTTGCCCATTTTCCTATTTTTTAAATCTCACTTCCCCCATGTTTTAGAGTTCTTTCCATATGGAGGATATTGGCCCTTTATCTGCATAGATTGCAAATATTTTCTCTCATTTTGTCATTTGACTTTGCTTATTATGGTGTTTTTTTTTTGCCAAGAGGAAATGTTTTATATGGTCAAATTTACCAATCTGTTCTCTGTTGCCACTGGACTGTGAGTCACAGTTAAAACGTGTTTCCTCACACCCAGAGTATGCAGGAACCAATCCATGTCTTCTTGTGTAGTTTCATCTTTTACAGTTAGATCTCTGATCCACTTGGAGTGGATTCTCTGGTAGAGTGTGAGATGAGGATCTAGCTTCTAGTCCTGTGGCTACCCTGTTGTCCCAGCACCACTAAAAAGTCAGTATTTGCCCCAGTGACTCAAGGTGTCACCTTTATTATTTATTAATCTTCCACACATACTTAGGTTGATTTCTGAGCTTTTTATTCTGTCCTGCTGGACTGTCTGTCTGTCCATGAACCAACAGCACACTGTTTTCATTACACAGGCTTCAGAGGATGTTTTAAGGTTTAGGAGGACCAGCCCCTGACTCCTACTATTGCTTTTTTTTACTTCAGTATTTTCCTAGATATTTTTGCATGTTTGTTTTTCCATATAAACTTTAGTATCAACTTGTCTAGCCCCATTACAAAATAATTTGTCTTCAAAATGTTCCCAATATTTTGAAATAGTTTATAACATTTAAAATTGGGAGATATCACTTGAAAATATGAATTCCTGGTTTCTCTTGAAATTTGGAAAGGCTTGTCAATGGGGGTCTTTTCTTTCCACGTGACCTAATAGTGTAGAGCAGATCGATAGCTGCAGCCTTTACCCAGACCTCATGGTGCCCACCATGTCCTCCAGCCTCTCACCCCTGCCCTTCTTCACACATTTAAGCTCCCTGCATGTCCTCTGAGTTGGTGACTCAGGCTTGAGATGGTCAGGAAAGTTATATTCCATGTCCACCCTTAGTCAACCATTTCTGTGGATCACAGTAAAATGTTTTGAAAGGTACTAGTGTCTGCTTTGTTCATTGCTGTATCTCCAGAGCCTAATAAGAGGGCTCAGGGCCTAGTTGGCGCTTGGTAAATATGTGTTCAATGAATAAACATTTGTAGGTAGGAAACAAGAAGTGATCAAAACCTATTCACTCTTCAGGAAACCATTGAAAACAAATCAAGTAGAACCAGTACATTAGGGTGGGAGTAAGTTGGCACAACCATTACAGAGGGCAGCTTGGCAACGTCCATCAGAAGGCCACTCGGCAACATCTGTCAGAATTACAAAGGTGTACATCAGTTGTCTTCACAGGTCTCCCTCTAAAAATTTGTCCTAAAGTGTATTTGGACATAGGCAAAATTACAATTTTAGGTTACTTATTTTCCAATAATAAAAGATTGGAAAGATTACATTTCCTTCAAAAGGGGACTGATTACAAAATTATGCTTTATCATATAGCTGAATAGTGGAACACGGTACAGTAGTACAAATATTAGGATACTTTCTATGACCTGAGAGGGGAAAACCAATGGTGTAGAATAATGTACGTAGCAGGCTACTCGTTATGTATCAAAGGCAAAAAACCAAAGATCTATATCCATTGTTTGTTTGCAAGTACACAAAGAAGTCTGGATGAACTCATATGAAACAAGTAACAGTGGTAAGCAGGGGGTGACAAAGCATGGTGGTGAAACCAGGCAGGTGGGGACAGGCTGGGACGGAAACTCCCTGTCTTTGTCTCTGTCTTTCTTTGCAGGACTCTGAGGAGCAGGTCTTAAACCAAATACTGTGTACATATATAAATGATGTATACATACATACAAATGCACACGCACATATATAAAAACAACTATTAAACTAAAAAAGACAGTAGAGGAAACCGATGCACCCTGGAGACCACAACTATTCAGCCTGGACTCATTATAGGGACAACCCCAGGGTGGAGAGTCTAAATCGCCCTCTGTTATTTCAACCATTCTTGCTAAAAGATGATATATGGTACATGTTATTTCCATTTTGACAGAAAAGACAATGAAATATGTTTCCAGTCCTACTATCCTGTGTTCAGATACTCCCAGAGAGCACTTCACAAATTGACAGTCAATAAACCACTTCATCCAGTGGAGAAGTAGAGTAAGTTCCAAGATGGAATGGTGATAAATATTCCAGCTAGCAATACGGGGAATTCAGCAACAAAAGACTTTATCAAGTAACTATAGTTCTAGAAGGATAGAAAACAAGATCTTCTGAAATACTAAAATGAGAATTCAGGAAATCCTCAGAGAATAACACAGAGCTTATATATTACACAGGGTTTGGCACATGGCATATGATCAATGTGAAACAAATTTTAAAAAAGAAGGTGTCTTAAGCTGCATGCTATTACTCAAATCAGTTAAACAGATGAACCTGTATCTGTCATTGCATTTATTTAAATATTTTAATTGGGGAGCCCAGAGAATGATTAGAATACTATGCTAGATATCTTTTTTTTGGTTTATAGTTAAATTTTTCCTGATATTGCTGCTGTTTCTTTGGAGTTAAAAAAAAATTCCAAGTGGCAAGCTATTCTGTTTGACACCCCTGAAGGTATCTAAAACAACAAATCTTAATATCTTTAGTAGGCTAAATTCTGGTGTTACTTCAGTATGCCACAGCTCAAGGCCATACACTCAAAGCAGAATATTAATGTTCAAAAAACTGTAGCATAAACCACCTGAGAGTAAAGATACTTATGTGCGATGAAAAGTGTTTTCAATTCTCAGGCTCAGCACATCCAGTTAAGCATTCATATTTACTGCATTGAACACCATAGGAAGAATATAAACAGCTTACATTCAAAGTAGGCCTCTGTTGCTTTATAAAAAGTGTT